AACTGTAAATAAAGTTTTATTGGAACACAGCCCTATCCATTCCTTTACATGCTGTCTATTTGTTGCTGTCACATTACAATGGAGGGCCGAGAGGTTTGAAAGAAGCCACATGGCCCGCAAAGCCTAAAATATTTACTATCTGGCCCCTTAAGAAAAAGTTTGAAGATCCCCGCTCTAGACTTGCACTGACCAATATAGTAGCAACGTGTGGCTATTTAATTTAAGTTAGCTTAAATTAAGTAGAATTAAACATTCGTTCCTCAGTTGCACTAGCCACATTTCAAGTGCTCAGTAGCCGCATGTGGCTGGTGCCTATTGGAGATGCAGATACAGAACGTTTCCATCATCACAAAAAGTTCTGCTGGACAGCGCTGTTCTAGATCATTCTAGGTAACATGGGATTCTTCTGTGGTTTGACCGTTTGGCACAACTCAGTCATTTGGGGTGCAATATCTCTTTTGTAGATGATTTTTTTTGGTTCCTGGGGGTATATTCTAGTGATTTAAAAATTTATATTTTTCAGTCAATTTTTGGTAGCTTATATTTTACTAGAAAATCATTCATCTCATCATGACTTTTATGTAGTATTTTTCTGGATCTCTATCCTATGTGCTTTCCTTAGGAGTGTGTTTTCCCCCTTCATGTCTCAAGCTGACATCTTAGTTCATTTAATTTTGTATTTAATCCTTATTTAATAATTAAAGCATATAAGGTGGTGAATTTTTGTCCAAGTGCAGCTTTGGCAGCATTCCACATGTTTTAAAAAATAGTATCCTCATCAGTGTCCTTGAAATAATCTGCAATTATGAAATTTATTTTCCTATTGCAAAGGTTAGGAGCATTTGAAACATTTCTGATTTGAGGTTTTTATGCTCTTTAAATTTATTTTCTTGTTTCACTGCACTGTAGTGAGAAATTATGGCCTCTACAGTTTTAATAAATATTTATCGAGCGTTTTGTAATGGCTTAATATACAAGCACTTTTTGGTGGTGTTTATGGACACCGGAAAATAAAATATTGCCTCTCTTTAGAGCAGTGCTGTCCAACAGAAATATAATGTGAGTCTCACATTTTAAAATTTTCTAGTAACCACATTAAAAAAGGTAAAAAGAAATGGGGAAATTTTAATATATTTTATTTAATCTAATATATCCAAAATATTGTCATGTCAACATGCAATTAATGTAAATTATTAATGAGATAGTCCAAGTCTTCAAACTTCGGTGTGTATTGTACACCTACACACATCTCAATTAGGACCAGCCACGTGTTAAGTGGTCCACAGCCACACGTGGCCGGTGGCTACCACAGTGGGCAGTGCTGTTCACGGACTACATAGTTCAGTAAAAACATTTTAAATCAACCTCACGATTCTGTTCAGGCTCCTTCCGTCCCCGTTACGCACCAGCCCTACAGAAATAGTGTCGCGTGCATGGCAACTTCTGCTGCTCCTGATAGTCGGCAATACTTGGCTGTTCATGACAGTTTCTAACAGTGACCTTTTCATTGTCAAGCGTACCTCTTGGGATGGCCCGTCAGAATCATAAGACACAACAGCCAGAGATCAGGATTAAAAAAATAAAAAGACTGCCAGATTTTCTATAAAAGTGAAAAAAGACTTTTATGTGACAGAAGATACCACAAAGTGAGAACGCAAGTAGGTGCTCAAAGTCAGCCTGTCGCCAGCACTGTCTGCAGCTCTTTATCTGTATTAACTCATTTAATCTTCACAACCCTGTGATGCAGGCATGATTATCCCAACTTTACAGATAAGGACATCGAGGCACAGAGAAGTTAAGTTACCTGCCCAAGGTCACACAGCTAAGAAGCAGCAGAACTGGGACTACACCCAGGCAGTCGGGCTCCAGCACCTGTGTGCATAACCACCATGCTACATCGCCCCCCCAAACTATACTGCGGGAGAAAACACTGGACACATATAAAAAAATTTAATATCCAAAATGTATAAAAAGCTGCTATCAATCAAGAAGACAAATATAAATGACCCAATAGAAAAACAGGCAAAGGATTCGGACAGGTCATCTGTAGACCAAGAAATGGACACAGCCAATGAGCATAAGAAAGGATGCTCATTTTACAAGTCATCAGGACAGGCAAGATATGATTTCCCGTCCAACAGATTAGAGTGACGATGAAGAAGTCTGCTAACAGGGCTGGGAGGGTGTGTGAAACGGGCTCTCGCACGCTGCTGGAGTAGCGTTACATTTACGACGCCTTTTTGAATGGCATGTTGGCAGTACCCACCACCATTTCAAACGCCCTTCACTTCTGACCAGCAGCTCCACCTCTAGGCCTGTCTCCACAGCTACGGTCTCACAGGAGCATGAAGATGCACGCACACAGGAGCTCTCCTACCCGAGCTCCAGTGGCCCACGTGCACCTGCACTGTTCCCTGCAAAGCTGCGCGAGCATCCGCCGAGCGAGCGGTCAGGGCGGCAGGCTACTCTCCTGGCCACCTGCACCCTTCTCTCCCCACCTGTGAGTCCCCTGTGTGTGTCCTTAAACTTAATCAAGCCAGGTGTACTTGCTATGCAATTATGTTCTTTAATGACAAAAATCAAAGAATTCTCAGTGCAAAGGGAGTTGTTCTTATGAAAACTAAGCTGAAATCTCTGAGTTCAGTAAGACAAGTTGTTAAAAACCAAAACTCAAATCAAACTGCTGTTGAATAAAACAAGAGTCAAATACCGGGGAAAACACAAAAATCTGTTAAGGATTTTGCACTGAAGAGTCTTCCTAAGTGTCTAAACTCCAAAATCAGAGGGTGCATTGACTGTACTTTATCAGGAGAGATAAAGCAGACACAGCTGGTCCTCCTGTCCGGACACATCTGCATTGTTTGCACTTTTTTCTAAACAGTGAAAACGTATTAATGAGTTACTTTAATTTTAAAACATTTAAAAATAAAGTGATATTTTAACAATACAACTCACTGTTCCCTTTGGTAACTTTTCTTGCCCCGAATTCTACTCTGGCTTAGTTTTCTAATCAATTGGAGGATTTCTGTCTTTCAACGGAGGATTTAAGCAATTTACCTTTATGGTTATAACTCACGCTTTTGCTATTAACTCTGCCACTTTATTTTACACTATTTGTTTTTCGTGTTTTTTTACCGTTTCATTTCCTTTTATTACACAGGCTCTTTCAGCTTTGCTGATGTTGTAGAAGGTTTATACCACCCTTTAAGTTCTACTACAGTTTATCTCTAAGCTATCTAAAGTATTTTAAACCTTTATTTCTCTAATTATCAAGGTAAAAAAATAAGTATTTCCCCCCTAGAAACTGGACTCTTTTCCTTGTTCTGAGGACTAAAAAAGGGCCCCACAGTGATAATATTGCGTGAAAGAAGCCAAATGCAAAATAGTATTGTATAATTCCTTTTATATGCAAGTCCACGTTAGTGATCATGGCCTTGTCCGTGGCTGGGGAGACCCTGGTCTCTGGGATAGGTGGGATGGCCAATTGCTGGGGGATTTCTCCATGACTTCCAGAACCTTCCACATGGTTGCTTTCAGTGGGCAAAGCCTGCCAAGCTTTTCTCAGTCCAGCTCCTTCTGACTCAGTGGACATCCCCTGTCTCTGCATCTTCATTTCTGGTGGGGGTGTGTGGCTTCCTTATGTCTCCTCATGAGTATTTTAGTGCGAAACTGGGAAAAGCTACATCAGGAACTGATGACTGGACATTATTTACACCAGAAGTTCCATAAAAAACTCGAGGCAGCCATTTACAAATCACTGCTCATGAGTCACAAGGATGTCAAAGTTTAAACCAATTTCTCCTGATTCTACTGGGCAGGACGCAGGTGAAGCCTAGGTGGCCCTCCAAAACCAAGCTTTACCAAGTCTTCCCTAGTAGCAAATGCATCGTACAACCCAAGCCTGAGTTAGATGGCCCTGGTCGGGGACTCTTCTCAGCGCTGGTCATTAACTGCGCACAGTTCATAGCGCTGCCTTTTAAATAAGCAAGAAGCGCAATGGTTCTCTAGAATCTAGTGCAGGAGTAATGGGGTTAAAGAAGGAGAGAACGCCTGGAGTCGTGACTGCTACAAGCTGCAAGTTCAAGTACAGGCTTGAATGAGCAGGTGAGGGGGGTGAGGGGGGTGAGGGCGAGAGGGAGCCTGGGAGGGTGGAGATGATGGGATTGGATTGAACAAGATAAAAAAAACCCAAATCTCTTCATTTCTTCCCCTTTTTTAAACTTCCCAATGGACACACACTTGCATATTCACATTTCTGTCGCCCACTCTCTCTCCTTACTATTGACCATACTCTTGTCTCTCTAAACCACAGATTTTCCCTCTAGACCCAAATAATCTTCATTCAACTAAAATGAGCACTTAGATTTCTTAGCTACTCATTTTGGTTACTGTTCATTTTTAATTGCTTATTTTCCCTGCCAGCAAGAAACCGTCAGGCAACTCAATGATACTGCCCCAGCCTATTGATGGACAAAGTCTGCCCGGACCATCCAAGGAAGAGGGAGACACAAGCCCCAGATTTCTGCACCATTTCAGGAGGGGTGGGTACTCAAGGGCTTTCTTTCAGAGCCCCCACTCATCCAAGGGACTCCAAAATAAAGTCGTGGGACAAGACGTGAGTGACAAGTAAGCCACAGGGGACTGGGGTTATTTCAGTCACAACGAGTTCAGCATCACCCAGCGCGTTAGCGTTCATACGGGGCCATGGAAATATGCAACAACAAGAACAGGGCGTGAAGAATGCAACCTTACCGTCTAATGGAACAGCAATCTGAGAACACTCAGTATTGGGGTCGAGCTATCCTAGAAGAGAACTAGGTATCTTTCGTGGCCTGTGAAATCATGTGAATTTTCCTGCACGTTCTGGATGGATAAACTCTGCCTGTCATTCTTCTGGTGAGCCAGCCGGGGAGCCCCACTCACAGAGGAAGCCTCGCCCACACTGGGTAAAGCCCCTGTGCGCTCTGAACAGAAGCTCCCGCCCCTGGGCAGCCCCTTACCTCCTGCAGCTTGATCTCCTCGGGCTGCAGGATCTCCAGCACCCCACTGCTCTGAATCTCCGGGAGGTCCTGCCAGAGGTTAAACTGCGAGTGGGGGTTACTGAGCAGGCAGATCTGGGGCAGAGCCCTCCTCTCGGGTGGGCTCGCCAGCTCCTCCTCGTCCTCCTCGTCCTCCTCCTCCTCCTCTGGAGTCTCCTCGCTGCCCGGGGAGCTGTGGGCATTGGCTTGTATTTCTGCATCCTGTTGCCTCCTGGTTTCAATTTCTTGGAGAGTTGACTTATCTCGGTATTCCTGATACAGGAGACCTGAAATCAAACAGAATTGCAGTGAAGAAAAGAAAAAGGTTTCAGGTGAAGATCTTTCCAAACCACCACGTCCAGGCTTTGTACTGTCATCAAGGGCGAATGCTCTGTCAGAATACACAAAGAAAGCCAGACCCGCACATGTTGCAGCAAACAGTTCTACACCACCGATAAACTGCCATGTCTTCATTTCTTGGGAAGGATCAGCATGCATAAGTTTTTTTGAGCAAAGAGTAAAGAAATCCCTGAACCGATTCAAAATCCAACCACACAAACATAGGCTTTCCCCACACACACTTGGCAAACCACGAGAATCTGGAACTTGATGTGTTAATAACCAATGTGCGCCGAGTTGATGGAAGTGTCCCAATTACGTTTCTGTATCCCAACAGGATGCTTTCCAGAGCCTTAAATGCTTCACTATTAAAACTCAAGTATAGTCATTTGTGAAATGGGAGTAGTTGTAAATTCTCATTTTGAAGGAAAAACGAATATTTCATCAACCTTATGATTCAAAAGGGAAACGTTCCTTTTTTGCTCCCACAGTTTCAGACTTCCATCCCTGACAAATTGTCCTTGAAATAAATGCATTCTAAGTCTCCAAGGAGATTTGGGGGTGGTCATGAATCGGCACAGATGTGGCACCTCCATAGGGAAAACCCATTCCGGACATCCTGCTGCGGGGCGCAGAGACTGTCTCTTCACACAGAGGCAGCAGAAGTTTCAGTGGCGAGGGGGATCCTGGCTGGGGGGGAATCCTGCTGGCAGTGAGGCTGGGGAGGGGCAGACCCCAAGGGTCTTGTCTGCCTTCTGTGCCGTGGAGGTGGCAGTCTATCCCATAAGCAAGAGAGAGGCCCCAAGAGACCTCAGGCAAGTGGTTCTGGGCTACAACTTAGGAGGACTGTGGATGGGAAGAAAGAGGCTGCGACAATTCTGCAGGAGAGGGATGACGGAGGCCTGAACTGCAGTGGTGGCACAGGAACGGAACCACAGGCTTGATACAGGGGACACAGACAAAGTGGAAGGTGGGTCCTGGTGATTGGGGCTGGTGCTGGGTCATGAACGATATTCAGGTGACCAGCTCAGCAACACAGCCTGGTGGCCCCATTCGGGGAGATGAGGAACACAGGAGGAGGGTCTGACTGGGGATGGGGGCGGTAGGGAGATCCAGGGGCACCTGAGGGGCACGCAGGGGGAGAGGTCCAGTGGGCAGCTGGACATAGTGGTCTGGAAAGCAGTCAGGGCCCCTTGATATGAACAGAGATATCTATCTATGAAACAAAGAGGATTTTCCCAGGAAAGTTCTAATAGGGATAAATGTACCACTTGTAAAGCACTTTCTCTTACAATGCAGTACAAACGTTAGCTATTATTCCGTCTTTATCTAATTATTAAATATATCTAAACGGTAGAAAAAGGAAGAAAAGAAAAACAGACACTTTGAAATCCTGAATCTGGCTGGATAAATTATATTCATAAACAGGAACCCAATAAATCTGCCATGTGGATTAAATCGGTTGGCTTCCTATGCTCCATAACGCTAAATTAGAAAGCCTTTATGCTAAGTATAGCAGTTACTTCAAAAAAATGAAGATCCTGTGATTTTACAGTGTTACAATCCTGCAGAATAGAACATGGAGTTAATGTGACAAAGGAATGAGAAAGAAAACCGAAGTCTGTGCTAACTGCAATCCAGACTGAAGATCCACAGAGACAGAGCTTTAACGTCACTATGTAAACTGGCTCACGAACATAAGACAGAATTATTGTTGCCGACACCGAACCAATCATTCTCCTGCGACTCCCATACTGTTGACGGAGGTTTAGAGAAACCAGGTTTCCACAAGTCGATTTAGATTCACTTTTCGATGCTTAGCACAGCGCCTCCCACATAGTAGGAACTCAAATATTTGTTGAATTGAACACCTTTTAAAAATGCAGTTTCCAAGCTTCACAAATGTATCTAACTAATTTGGCATCTTTTTGAAGGTTCAAAAATTTGTCTTATGTATGCTACAGTCGGCAGATCATGGGTAAATACTAGCTCCAACATCTCACTGTGATACATATGTTGAAAAGAGATGAAAATATCAGCATTGTGGGTAGCTGGGTTGAAAATAATATTTCTGAAATGACACATGGCAGACACCGTTGGCTGCCTCTCCTCTATCCCCTCACTCCTTCTTCCCAGCTGTCAGGGGAGGGGTTTTGTTTGGGTGCTGACCCATTCCGTGCCCAAGGAAGTGAGTGAATGTTGACTGATCAAAACCTACCAGGAGAGTTCCCTTCCTCTTGCCAGTGGTGGGTTTAGACATGAGCATGTGACACAACCTGGCCAAGGAGAGGAAGGGGATATCTTACATCTTTGAGAAAGGCTTCTCAAAAAGATGTCCTTCCCCAATAGACACTTGAAGACAAATTGCCCTTTTTTTCTTTTACACATGGCTGCTTGAGGATGTGATATCTGGAGCTGTGGCAGCCATCTTGTGACATGAAGCCCAAATGCTGAGAATGGTGGAGGGAAAGGAGCTGGGTGACTGCTTGGCTGAATGAACCAACTTCAGAACTTCCTACCTTTGGATTCATTAACTGAGATAGAATACTTCTATTGTTTAAGGTCATTTTTTACTGGATATTCTGTTACTTTCAGTCAAAGACTCCCAATGCAAGTAATTTTAGAATTTTCTTAAACCTTCATACTTCTTTCTGAAGCATTTAGAATATGAATTTAAACACCAATTTTCCTGGAGTTACTGTGATTACAAAGAGTTATCCAACACACTGTGTAACCATTTTTCATAGCCTGTTTATTTTTATTAGCATTAAAATTCAGATTATAATAGAAATAGAGTAGCTTTACCTGAGGAACTATATGTTATCTGATTAAATTTCTGTACTCAATGTCCTGTTTATATATCACGTTTTCCTATCTTATATTTAGTACATTCAGCAAGCACAACTTTATATGGAAATTAACTTTACCTGTAAAATCTTGCACCTGGTATTATATCCATGCAGAATTAGAAGGCTCAGTGCCCAGCTCTCCGAATTAAAATGATCTATACCAGGCTGGCTGTGCTGCCCTCAAAAGAAGGTAGCTTCCGGGCCGGCCCTGTGGCTTGGTGGTTAAGTGCGCGCGCTGCGATGCTGGCGGCCCGGGTTCGGATCCCGGGTGCGCATCGAGGCACCACTTCTCTGTCCATCCTGAGGCCGAGTCCCACATACAGCAACTAGAAGGGTGTGCAGCTATGGCATACAACTATCTACTGGGGCTTTGGGGGCAAAAAATAAAATAAATAAAATCTTTAAAAAAAAAAAAAAAAAAAAAGAAGGTAGCTTCCCAGCTCCTCCTCCAAAGCCCCCAGCGTCATTCAAAACCTTGCTGAAGGTTTCACTTGCTGTAGAGGATAATTTTTTTCTTTGCATCCTTCAAATAGACACTTCTAAAGGGCAGGGAATTCTTTTATATTTTAGTGAGCACCTTCTATGTGCAAGCATTCATTAGGTGTCAGAGACAACAACAGCATGTGTGTGCACAACACACACACACACACACACCAATCACAGGGTCTCAGGGCCTATGATCTGTAATGACATTATACCATGTCGTGCATAATCCCGGCATAATTCTGTTCTGGCCTCTGTGGGAGCCACTGCAAAATCCAGCACAGTGGTCTATATTCATTCCTCTCTCCTCCCCGCTTAATTCCACGGTGTCTTTAGGAACCTGTCTTCCTTCCCTGATACGTGGAAAAGAATTCACTTCATTCATGGAGCTAAAAGCAGGTAGGGCTGTGGTGGGAATCTGCTTAGCACAGGCCTCATGTCTATGATGAAGGAGGTGAGGAGAAGGCAGCCACAGCTCTGTGCTGTCATTCAGCACATCTCTGAGCACATAGTCTGGATCCAGCCCAGGAGCCAGAAAAAGATATTTCCCATCCTACTGGCAGATTCTGGCAGGGGCCAGTGGGAGGAAGACTCGGGACATTGGTCTCTGCTGTTTACTACAGGAGGAAACTCAGAGCCAGGACGAGCAGGTCCCAGAGCTCAGGGCCCCTGACTCCCAGCTTCGAGCTTAGGCCACTGGCCCAGCAGGTCCAGCTGTCTCCAGGAGAGGTGTCTCCACGCACCCATAATGCAGACGGGAGCACCCACCCCAACTTCCTTCCTATCATGACATTGATCTTACCCAAAGAGGATCCCTTTCAAGAGGGTGGAAGTCAAGGCTTCCAGTGTATGCCAAGGCAGAGGTGGCCCTCCTCACGATGAAGGACAATGTGGCAGAGAGCGGGAGAAAGGGGTTTTCAGGAGTCTTTGTTTTCGGATCAGCCCCTCTCCATGCCTCCAGCAAACAAAGGGAAAAGCTGCCACCACCGCCACCAGCCTGACACCCTGGGGCCCCACTGGGAACAAAGTTCCTGGAGTCAGCAAGGCTTAGCAGCGTGCGTGTGCGCTCCACCCCCTCAGCTTACAGGGGCTCAGCTCCTCTCAGGGTTCAGTTTGGAAAACCTCTGCCAGAGGACAGTAGGGTGCCCCAAAAGTCTCCCAAAGGCAGGGTCTCCTGGGCAATGGAAGCCGCACTTCCCCTCGAGACACTTCACTTCCGTCTGAGCGTTTGGGATGGAGGACGACAATGATGTATTCAGGTAAGAAAATTCCCAAACCCAGAATTTTACTTTAACGAATAGACTGCTGCTCTGACATTGGAGAAAAAAAAGGTTTTCTAAGCAGAGGTAAGAGAACTCACATTACCCATTCCCTGCCGCCTCTGGGGACCACATAAGAACTAGTTTGATGTCATCGGCAATTTTTGACTTTAAAATGCACGTGCTGGAGTTCTTGGGGCGCTTCTCACTTCGCTGTCTGCATTCACAGCGCTTCCGCAGAGCTGGACGCACACGGGCTGTGCCCGCACCTCGGGCCGCGTTCCCGGAAGGGCAGGTGAGGCCAGGCCTCCCTCCCTAACCCTAACTGGGGCTCCCACGTTTTCTCTCCTTTCCCTCTCCCTCCCCTGTGCAAAGTCGGCCACTGCCTTCTCTCCCTGAATCCCACCAGGCAGCCTGGCTCTCTCCAGAATGCCCCTCCGCAGATTGCCCCTCTTCCCGGGTCTTCCGCGGGCCCCCTCCAGGCCGGGGCTCACGGAGCCCTCCCTCCTGCGTGGCCCAGCAGGGCCTCCCCCGCCGTCTCTCGGCAGAAGCGGCCAGGGCACAGAGAGGGCTCCTCCGGGAAAGGGCCGGGCGGTAGACCTCTCCGGAGAGGGCAGGATAGCTGAAGCCTAACTACGAGGCACCACTAACATGTGGCACTTTGGCCCATGGAGCCATTCAGAACCAAATATGTCAGAAATGTCCCTCAGCCACGTCAGATGCGTTCGCTCACAGAAACGCAACAGCATCTCCGCAGCAGCGCGACGCTCCGAGTCCAGGGGACCCGCATTTCCCAGGGAAGCCCGCGCCGCCGGGACACCCACCTATTTGCTCAATGAGGTTTCGCCAGGAGTCGGCGGGAATGGGGTGGATCATCTGCAGGGCCTCGGTGAGCGTGGTGGGGCTGTCGGCCAGGGCCGGGCACTCCTCGGGCGTGGCCCCATTTCCCGGGGTGGAGGACGACTCGCTGCCAGAGAGAAGGAGGCGCAGGGGCCGGTTATTTTTAAGCAACGACACACCTCGGCCAGCTTTTGAGGGGCGTCCGCACAAGCGGCCCTGGCCAGCTAGACCCTGCCCGGGACGGTGGCCGCCGCCCCTCCCGGCCAGGAGGGCCCCACAGGCCCTTTTTGTCACCCCACCAGGGCGCGACCGGGTGATTCATTCCCACCCCAGCCCGCCCAAACCTCCATGTTTTCGGAGCTCGCGGGCGGGCGTCGGAAACTTGGCGCGCCCTGCCCGGTCCGCGGCGCCGACCGGCCGCCCCGACGGGTCCCGCGGCCGGGAGCCCAGCCCGCGTTGCGCCCCCCGCGCCGCTCGCTGTCACCCCGACGCAGGACCCCGGCCCCCTTCGGGTCGCGATGCTCCTGTCCCAGGGCCACGCGGCGCGGAGAGCGGGCACCGAGCGGGACGCGCGCGCCCAGGGCGCCCGGGAGAGGGCGCGGGAGACGGCCCCGAGCAGGGATCGGAGCGTCAGAGGCCAGGGCCGAGACGCACCCCAACCCAAGGTGGGGTGCCGGCATGACCCGGCCGCGGGTGGGAGTGGAGGGCGGCGGGCCCGGGGGCTGGGGATAGGC